AAAAAAAGGAAATTTTAAAAAAAAAAACAAAAATTAAAAAAAAAAAAAAAAAAAAAAAAAAACTTAACCGATTCTGCTACTTTGACTTTAGTAGGAAAGGAAATCATGTTTAAAAAAATGCTAAGTTTATTGATCTTTTATTGTTACAGGTGACAGTCTGGTCAGTCATGCTACATTGGTAGTACAAAACATCAATTACAATGATGCTTATATGAACATTGTCAAAATTCTATCTTCAACAAATCTAGCATACATATTTACATGTGCAAGTTCTTTAACAGTTTAATTTCATCTGTTGTTTTTTGAAATATCTCTTAAACTTGTAGTGGCCAAAGTTAAGGATAAAGGAAGCTATTTTCATAAGTGATCTAAAACATGTGCAAGTTCTTTAACAGTTTAATTTCATCTGTTGTTTTTTGAAATATCTCTTAAACTTGTAGTGGCCAAAGTTAAGGATAAAGGAAGCTATTTTCATAAGTGATCTAAAACCTTTCCTCAACAAAGAGGAAAATGTAAAGGAATCTCTCATGCCATAGGGCCTTACCATAAAATTTTATTTAACAAAGAACTACTTTATTATATCAACTGAGAAACTGACAAGTGGTTTGATGGAATGAAATTCTATAATTCAGTGTCACTTAATTACTTTAAAGCCTTCAACATTGATATGTTACAACTTGACAGCCTGTTAATGTGCATTATAAAGACAGGAAATCAGATTAGTAGCCAGATTAGATTGTGTAGTAAAGGTAATAGATGAAAAATACATGTCATTAAAGTTATAAAACAAGCAAAAGGTATTATTATATCACATTAAGGAGATTACAAATTCTGGTGTCCTGATACCTTCCCTAAGATCTTGACAATTTCAGGTTTCCTAATCATGCCAACATAGGGCTACAAGGTTAGCAGAACAAAAATTCTACCTATTTCTATGTATCATGTTACACCTTATATGTTGAATTTTAACTTTGAAAAAATTAATTAAACCCTTAAAAAATTAGATTCTAAAGTTTAAATTTTTTGGCCAATATTTAGTAATTTCCAGATTTTTGTGGCACAGTCACTCTCCCTAAACAAGCTTTTCAAATCAAATCTAACTCAACCTTTAACTGTTACAATTCTATCATGTCTTTTTTTCTAGAAGTGAGAACAGGAGGAAACTGTGAAGATAATGCTTATGCTCTCAGACGACTGATGCAACCCAGTTGCTTTTGTGATATTAAGTTGTGTTATAAAATTAACAGGATCTACCAGCATGTATTACAATGAATTGTGAAAAATCAAGAGAGATGACTTTAAAAATGTTTTCTATATTACGAACAAAGGAATCTATGTTAAGGAATTAGGACAAAAATATGGTAATTAACTGCATGTAAAATAACTTACCACTGGCCAAACAACTGATTCAAATACAGCATCAATCTCTTCACAGCTGAACGGATATGTGTCATATACTGTGAAAAACTAAAATTACACAAAAAACATACAGTACTTAAATTTCAGGCAGTTAGTCTTAACAAGAACAATTTTGTTCATCTTCTGTGCATAGTTGAAATGTTGTTATATCTTGTAATAACACAATTACACATACAATGCCTAAAACTAACAATTAAAAGTTTCTTAAATTCAAATAACTGCAAAAATATTCAGATCAAGTAAGCCTAAAATTTTAAAATGAAGATAATGAGAGTTATATTATGTTATTTCTAAACATAGTTATGTATATTTTGATACATATTTATTTAAATAAGCCATATTTCCTATATCTGACATTCAAGCAACCTATCTAATTGAACTACATTTATTATTATTATGATAAAAATTTATCTGCTGTCTAAACTGTTGCATGTGATTGGCTGGGACAAGTGGATAAAGATTATAATCTTAAATATATTTTCTTAGTACTGAACCAATGTTTATATAATTCATGATTTAGAAATAGTAAGAACTTCTGTATTAAAATCAATGTTAAAACTAATAAACAGAATGCAATAAAAAAGACTTTCATGTATATATATATATATATGAATATAGATCTATGTGACAAATATTTTCCTAGAAAAAACATTCTTATTATTCTAATCCATGAAACAAGTGGTGGTATTAAAGAATACCTTAAATTTTATTCATTGAATATATGAAGAAAACATTATTTTATGCTTTCAATGCAGCTAAAAATAAACATATATATTTATATCTTAATTTAGCAAAACTTATTTTGAAGTTATAACAGCATAACTTTTGATTTAAATGCTCAACAGACACAAAGTTTGGCAAAGAAAAAAGGAAAATCAAGTCAATTCCACAAAAAAACAAAACAACAATGATCATCAAAACAGAAAGACAAAAGTTTAAGTTAAACTTAAATTAAAAACTGAAAGTCTTGTATGTTAATTTCACAAAACTATTTTACAGTGAAAATGTACATATGAACAGGTGTAAAAATGTATCATTTTACTGGCTGGAAGGCACAATTAGTAACAGAAGTTTCCAACAGGTGATTATGAATAACAAAATTCCAAACATTAGAAAATCTGAGAATAAATGAGGTAAGTTACATGAGGTTGTAGACCCCTATGCAGAAGTCTTACATTTAGCAGAAGAATAGGCCCACAATAGAATAAAAATACATAAATAGACTGCATAAAGAAAGTTCAAGAAACATAAATATAGATATTAAAACAACAGTAAAAAACAATTTAAGAGACATAAAAATAATACCAGGAAAACAAAAAGACAGTATCATACAATATTTAAGTCTTTGGATGAAATAAATGTCATAAAGCTAAAAAACAACTCCTTATACAGAAAAAAAAAGAATACAACATCTGTATAAAAATTAAAATTAGGCTAAATGAAACATAGAAATGGTTAAACTATTTGCAAATAATAATTTAAAAGGCTCTCTATGTAGTTATTACAGTTCACTAAATGTTGAAGGTGTTACTGACTGCTGAAAGTGTTACATCTAATATGTCAAGTCCAGAGATATTAGAAAAATTATTCTCTGATACACCTTTAAATGTGTCATGAGCAAGAACTGACATCTAAAATAAACTGAGAAGAAAAGAGTACAGTCATGTTTACAAAAGATCTAGCTGATGTGTTACAAAGGTGATAACAAGGTTCCTAAAAGAGAAGATTAAAACATGAAAATAAACATGGGGCTAACCAGGTTTAAAAAAATTTAAATATAAACAAATGTATACTGCTACGAGTTTCAAGCTATTTAGGATAAACAAATGTAGTTGTGTTAGAAATTGAAATCATTCTAGAAAGAAAAAAAAAAGGCAATTTAGATTTATTTCAATTTTTTTTTGGTGGTCATCAGGTCGATCAAATTGACCAACCTTGTATAGAGTTAGAGTTGGGAAAATAAAAGACAGAACATAAAGTGTACTGAAAACAAGACGTTTGAAATTTATTAAGGAAGCTTTAGAGATCTTTCAGATGAAGAAAAATATTTTTACTCTTAACATTAAAATCACTTTGCACTCGGACTAGTAAAAAAAAAAAGACTTGATATACTCAAAGACAAATCTTTAGTACAAATTCTTCATTAAAAATCTGATTTTTGTGTTCAAAATACTTGTAATATTTACTGAGTTTTGTGAAGATACACAAACTGTATTAAAAGTTATAAATGAAAATTATAACGAGTTGAAAATAGTTATGAAGTTGGTTATTTCAACCAATCTCATGGACAGAAAGTTAAGCTATTTAGAATAAACAATTGTGTTTTTTGTTATAATTTGTAGTCATTCTAAGAAGGAAAAAGGAGTAACTTAGATTTATTGGTGGTTATGAGGTTGGTCAAATTGACTGACCTATATAGAATTATGGTAAAGAAAATGTTTGATATTTATTTCAGAGATTTTAGAGGTTAAGGAAATGAAATCTGAAGATTTTCAGATGAGGAAAAATAATTTTAATGTTAACATAAAAATCACTTTGCATTTGGAGCAGTAAACATTCTGACTCCACACACTGATTTAGTAAAAATGCTTGGTTGAAAATTCTGATTTTTGTCTACAAAAGACTTGTAATGTTTGCTAAAAGCTTTCCAGATTTCATGAACATACATTAAGTACTTTCAGATTTATGGTATGTATACCTTCATGGTTACAAGTCACTTGCATGGTGGTTAAAAAGTCATGTAAAATACACAAACCCAATGTGAAAGGGTTAACTGTGTAACAAAGACCTTGATATTTATTAGTGACAAGAGCCCTTCCCTTTCAAATACCTATGCAATTTATAAATGTTCAATATAAATATACTCCTGTGTTGCATACTTCTATCATACAAAACTTCTTTTTTTCAAACAATACTAGATATTAGCTTTCTATTTTTTTGAAATGATTCAAAAACATTATTGTAATACTCTTCACATAAGTAATAGTAAAAACTTTATATCACAACATTCTATGTCTATGTCAAAAAATCATGACCCTTATTATTATTATAAGCCATTTTATAGGATTATTGTTCCTTTTAAGGAGTTTAAGGCCCTGAATTGGGTTTCTTTTTTTACAGAATTTACAGGAAATGAAATAATTAACCCTGTGATGAAGATCCTAAACAAAAACCATTACAATAACATGAACGTATTCCATAATAGGATGTTTATAAGGTTAAAGTTTTAAATTGTAATTTACACCAAAAGCACTTCAAACCAACCCAAAATTATGAAAGCTAAGGAACTGCAGAGCAAAAAACAACACCTGAATGATTTTAATGAAAGCCATGGTTCTCAGATTCTTTAGCATGTTAATGAAACGAGGACAAATTTCTTCTCGACGTTCAAGAAGTGTTACTGCTTGAGTGGCTACAGAAAGCAACACACGGAACAGTTGAGGTAAAAGGTTGGCTGCAAGACAGCCAAAGTGTTTCAGCATAGTTCCTAAAGTGTTCATTATGCTGTTGGGAAGAAAAAATACAATTATTCTAGTAAAAACAGTTTAACTGAAAACGTCTGTCCACAATGTATTAAAAAAAATTTCATAAAAAATATTATAAATTATATTTAAAACTAAGACCACTAAACTAAAAATTTTAAAATGTTACTAAAATTTTTATAACATTGTTTTTCATGAGTTTACAACAAATGAAATGCTAGAATTTTGTAACTTTGCATTTATAATAAGATCAAATGTTGGACAGATAACCACAACTTGCATGCAAGTTCTTGAATTGTGTTACTAATTTTTTCTCCCGTTGAATATAATAATAATAATTTTAGTTATTACTGATCTATACTAAAATAAAATCAACTATTCACTTACACCAACAATTATTCTTTCACAAAAATAAAATGGACAATTAATACAACCTAATCTTAAAAAACAATTAAATGAAAGGCTTTGGAAAATTAATCAAATTTAAGTAAAATGTTTTAAATTAACATAAATTAGTTACTGTAAATTGGATAATATTGCAAGTCTAAGTAAGATAGTGTTGATATTTTAGGCCTCAAGTATTACAAAACTGTGGAATTAGCTTTAATCTCTAAGAACTGAGCGTTTTTAGATCTTAAAACAAACTTCATTATTAGAACAAACTCTGTATTCTAGAAAAAATAGCCAACATTCACAGTGTACTCTGAAGATATTATTATAGAGCACTCTTTACATTTGGCACCAATGGAAGTGTTGAGACAACTACATTAGTCTCAAGTTCAGGTAACATGACAGTGCAGAAATTACATATGTATATCGTATTTTTAGCAAAGCAACTAAGGTTACCTGCCACAGTCCCTAACTTGAACTAATGAGAGAGGGAAGGCAGCAGAAATCTACCACCTACATCAAGGGACTGATTGTCAATCTTATAATGCACCAATAGATTAAAATGTGGGGAATATTATGTTGTATTGCACATTTCAACATGGCTCAACAGCTCTGAAATCCAGAGTTCTACCATAGGGATAACTTGTGCTCAACATAGAGCATGAAAAACATGGGCATGTTTCATGAACTTTCCAACCCAACTCAAATGTCCATAGTATACAAACAAATGTAAACATAGTACATATTATGTAAAGCTTACTTGAAGTTTTGTTATTTCTATTGAAACTTGTACATGTTTTATTAAATTACAGACCTGACACTACTATAAAATACAGGTGTACTGAGTTTTTATAAGAAAGCTTTTTAAAGTTTAAAGGAAATGAATTTTTTTTCCTGCCTACCTAAGTTGTCTTCTTACTGGCACAACAGCTGACAAGTCCAGTTCTCTTTTCATATTTTTCACAATTTCCAATGGGTTTTCTAGAAATAAAAAGTATAACCATAAAGATATTTTCCTTTTCAGTAGTATTTCAAAATGCTAATTGCTTTTGATAAGATTTTTTAAGTAATTATATTTTAATTTACTGTTTCCAGATTTAGCATTATGATATGAGTGAGTAATTTACGAGGTACACTACGAGTAGGCTAACTACCATATAATTATTTCTCATTTAAATAAGAAATTAATATTTGCAGATAACAACAAACACTCATATAACATTTCATATGCAATTGGCTTAAAATAATACAACATTTTCTACTTACTATCAAACACATGCTTGAATGGGGAAAAAGCCAACATCAAAAACATTTTTAATTCTGATTCATTACAGCCTGCAAGAAAGCGGAGAACTATACCACGACGGATATGAGCATTTGATTTTCCACCTGTGTTTCCTCCAGTTTTATAAAGCATCTTACCATACAATATTCTGAAACAGAAGCAATCTGCATGAATCTATAATATCTGGCCAATAATCTTTATAGATGATATAGAATGTTACTTTAATATATAATTTAAAAAAAGTAATTACACCACTACTAATTCAGGTACATCACTGGATATCACCATTCGTACAAAATGGGTTTAATATACAAAATTAAAAATACATCTCAAATTATTTTAGCAATTGCTTCAAGTTTCTCTATAACTTTATTAAAAGATGATTTCTAGAACTAGGTAATATGTTTTACAAAGAAAAAAAAATGAATGCGAACAACTCACAATTATGATAAAAACAGTAAATTCAACTTTCTCTGTCATTGAAAACAATGACAATTGGACAACAAAGACTTGAACAATCAACATGATGCTAAAAGTATCAGAATATTAAACCAGTTCAACCATAGTTGAGATTGATCACAATTTAACCTGTTATATTAGAAAATATTCTACATGTGCACATGTTAAGTATTTATACTATTAATTTTAATGCAGTATGTCTATCTTCACAAAATTTGGTAGACTTTTAGTAAATATTACAAGTCTTTTGTACACAAAAGCTTGTTAATATTGGGAATCTGAGTTCATAATTCATATGAAACTATAGACTTTGTATTTGGACACCACAAACATATAATTTGAACCAATGCTGCATTCAACATTCTATGTGACACATAAAAATCAACATTCAGGATTTATTTTTTAATATTTACTTTTAAATTAAGAAATTAACTAATGTATAATACTAAAATTAGAATTATAATCTACAATTTGATACCAAACTTATTGACATACATTCATAAAATAGTAGTTCAATAAAATTTTTAATGCAAGTCAACAAATGCGATGACCTGGCCTTTGACCCATGACAATAGGGTTAATTGTGTATGCTTAGTTTAGAAAGATGTTATTTATTTAAGACAGACAATTAATTTTTTGTTACTGTTATTGTAAAACGTTTAGTAGGAGTATAATGCAATATGTGTATTTGATCTAATTACTAACCACAATATCAAATTTGAATAGACCAAAGAAACACCAAATTTATATAAAAAATAGTAATTCCAATGATATAATAAAAATTTTAAAAAATCCCAATCAAGCATTAAAACTGCCAAAGCACCTCATTAATACAGGCAGTAGTTCCTCTCGATGTTCTGCCTGGACACTCCCATGTTCGGAATCTATGCTGAAGAGTGTAGCCTCTGTCTTGAATGTCTTTTCATCTAAAAGGCTGTAAAAGTTTTCTCTGAAACAAGAAAAGAAGTCAGATTTTGATGATTTCAAAACTGAATACTCACTGCTACATAATACTTGTGAAACTATTTGAAGGAAATGCAAATTACTAAATAAAATAGAATTCTTACATATTACTGCAACAATATAAATGTTCAACTTAATCTGGATTTTAATTCCTGATTTTTAAAACAACTATAACTAAATTAAGTATCAACTAATTAAAATAAGAATGCTATGTCTATACCTCAATTTGTATTCTGAATGGAAATATGCTTATATAGTTTGAATACAATGTCATAAAATCAAGATGGACTGTTAGTGACAACTGCAATTACTGGAAAAAAATTTGAAAGTAGTTGAATGGTTTGGACAACAGCAAGTTCACAGATAATCTTGTTAAGCTGCTGAATATGTTAAACAAGTGCTCCATGAATAAACTTAGAAATACCCAATATATCTTAGCAGTAAGAGACAAAATAAATAACTGTACATCAGAATGCACTATTTTACATGCTGATGTGTTACCACAATAAAAATCCTATACAATGCCAATAAATTCATCAATTTTAAATAACTGAATTAAAAGTTAACATTTTCTTCTACTGAAAATGTATTTCTGATAGGTACTTACTTCCTCTCACACAAGGCTATCTCGATCTTCTTTCTGCCCACTAAGCATTGTTAAACAATTTTCACGATCAGTGCACCAGTCTATATACCCCATCAGTTTTGCACTATTTTTAAACATGTTAGTATCATTTGACTACTCAACACAATTAGTTGGCACAACTAACTCCCTCTGCTATTCCTGCTCAATCCTCATTTTCAAGAATTGGCAGGCTCTAAAAGAAGAACACCAGCAGAGGGGAGGAAGAGTGGGAAATGTGTGAAAGGAGGTTAGTACCTATCGGAAATATATTTTTAGTGTAAGGAAATGTTAACTTCTGATATAGTCTTACCTCCTCTCACATAAGGCTAGAATCCCACATTACAAAGGTGGAGGGGCTGGATTAGGCCCACAAAATTGAAACTAAGCAGAAAGCAACCACCCAAAATGAACGAGTGTGCTCCAAGATGAAAGCGAAACACACTTGTGGGGTACCACACTACTTCTGGAACAGGTATGCTCTTACACCCTTGAAGTAGGAAATCAATCCAATATAGGTAGAAAAATGGATGTGTGCAAGTTCAATTTGTTTGAGAGGTGCCATCTATAGTAAAATATAAGCTGAATTAGCTATGTACATATGCAACCTCTACTGGACAGTGAAGAATCAATAACTCATCTTTGGCATTAGGAAGATAAAGGAAAAAATGATAAAAACAAATAAATTGTAACATAAACATAGTGGCTAGGGCATGTGGACCATGTTACATGTACTCATCAACCTCAACCACAAATAAAGAGTGTGTCATACATCAAGCAACCAGAAATATGAAGTGCAAGTTAGCTTTCAGCCAAAACCAGACAAACTCCCAAAACCACCATAGGAGCCAGAAGTGCAACAAACTTAACCCGGTATTATGGGGTTATGGCGTTGCCTCAACTCAAATGTAAGAACAGGGTAATATCTGTAACCAGTATTATGAGGAGGAGATTGATCATTTGCTCAAATGTAGGAACAGTGTTGCTGGTGTTACGAGGCAGCAAAGTCCAAAAAATTCAACTGTAGGAGCAGGGAAAGAACCTCCTGAAACCGGAATTAATGAGAAGAGGGGTATTGGATATACAAGACTGTTTTGTGTAAGAATTATTATTTAGTTTATTTAGTGATTTAATATTTAATGATGATTTAATTTTCATAACAAGAGCATTAAAAGTAATTATTTTCAAGGCAAAAGTTATGACAAGTTTGGTTACGCAACTTGTAAGAGTCATAAGTTATGTGTATGGTTCAATTGTTGTAGTATTGCTGACATCATTTTTCTCGCTATGTGAGTATTGTCACATCCTATCATCTCCTAGTTTGTAAAAAAGTTTTAAGCCTTAGTTGGAAAATGTATAAATATAGACAACCAAGTGAATGCAAGTCAAATGAAGTTCAGTCAAGAAAAAAATTAGTTAGTGAAAGAAAATGTGAAGTTAGCTGCCATGTGAGTGATTAAGCCTTAACTGGTGATTTCTATATAATGTTTCACAGCTGTATTGTGACAACAGAGAGAGAGGAAAAATAATTTGTCTTGTCAAGTGGGCTCAAAAGTAACTGAAGCAGCCTGTGTGGACTTTTGACAAAAAAAAAAAGAGACAAAGCGATAAATGGAAGGAGGGAAACCAGCTTTTGTAAATTAAATTTCAAAGCCCACTCAGGGGGAAGCCCCCATGGTCCACCACCCCAGCGAATGGGAAGTGGTAACGACTCGTGCTACACTGGAAGAAAAGAAGGGAAATAAATGCAGTGGGGAGTCCATAGGAACGTCACATTGGAGAAAGTGCAATGGGTGTCTGCAATTCCCAATTTTGAAAAGCAGACCGACCCCAATTTCTTCAATCAAAGGGTCAGAAGGGATGGGCAGAAATCCTCTTCTGCTTTACTCATGAAGTCCATAACTGACAGTCCAATACTGAATGAAACTTACTGATATCTAGAAACACACACACACATATATATATCCAGTGGTTTTGTGGAACACTCCATTTCTACAGTGAGTGTTATAGTGCAATCAGTAAATAGTGTGGGTTTGATGCAAAGCATACCTGACCAGGCAACTCCTGCCACAGAGTGAGATCCCATTATCAGTGGTAAAAACAAGAGTTGCTGAAAATGAAAAGAAGTGATAAGACTTTCCCCAATTAAAGGTGAATGTATGTGTGTAGAATCACCACCAGAGGGAGACAATATCCACCTTAGAAAGATACAGAGACATCATACAGATAACAAGCGACAAAGGTATTGGGAGTAGTCCACATTCCGGCCTGAGTGATCTCCTCCAAAGGACCGAAGGTGAGCAGCCAAAGACATCGTAATATGACGAATTTGAAGAGAAGAAACATTGTGGAGACAGGGACTCTCTATGGATAAGTCAGCCTAGCAAGATGACAAACCCAACCAGTTGGCATGACAAAGGATAGATCATGGGAAACAGAAGGGTTTCAGTGAATAAAAAGTCGGGAATGGGAAGCCCAAAAGGAGGCAGTTTGTGATGCATAACATTTAAGGAGTGAACCAGACAAAGAAGCCAATCAGGATCAGAATTAGAGTACTGGTGGGAGATGGAAGGTAAGAAAATGGGTGTGAAAACCAAACCACCTCCATGTGCAGCATAATTTGGGATATAGGATGACATACGAGGAATGAAAGAAAATGCGGGTAACATAAACGGCATAAATACCTGATTGATGTCTGCAAGCAAGGAAGGGAAGGGTACATAAAACACACAGACAAAGGTTCAAAGGGAAGATGGAAAAAAGCATAAAGGACCACATTAAAATCCCAATCAAGCAAATCAAAGGAATGTGGAGGGTGCATGACTCGAAAGAAGTGGGAAAGGAGGGAAATAACAGGAGAAGACAAAACCTTATGAAATTTGGAGAAACAGAAAGTGTTTGACAAAGCTACAAAATAGCTAGACATGATCGAAGCAAATAAGCCTTTGTCAAAAACCCAGGTGAAGAATTGGGAATGGATGAGTGGGAAAGACAGAAGCCACTTCGATAAGACCAAAGATAAAAGGTAGACCATCACCTTTATTAAATGCACATGGAAGAAGGTCTGGTGGATTGGGACAGGAAAGATGTATCATGTGGAGTCAGTCCCTGGGCTGAGGCAATGACCATGACAAAAGCCATGCGTGAAGATGGAGTCTGGTGAAGTCTGGATAAACACTGTCCGACAAAGATTGACAGAGTAGAGACCATGACAGAGGAGAGGGTAGATGAGGTTGTGCAAGTAAAGGTCGGAGCAGAGGGAACCATTGTTGGGCATGCCAATAAGAGCCACAAGTAGGACTAGACACTGAGTGATTCGGGTAAAGGATAGAACCCTGGAGAGGAGTAAAATAGGAGTGTAAGCATAGATGTGACGACACCTCTAATATTGACTGAATGTGTCCTCTCCTAGAGCTAACAGGTGTGGAATGGATGAACAAAAGCCAGTCGTCCATGTAAGAAAAAATTGTGGAAAATAAATTAAAATGGCATATAAGCATAATTATAAATGGTAGCCACATGTGAAAAAACACATGTATAAACAAAGCTACACTAATTGAGAAAGTGTAGATTGAGCAGGAATAGCAAAGGGAGTCAGTTGTGCCAATATAGGTGGAACAATACTATAGGTGGAGAGTTGTCACATGATACTTACATGTCCATAAATGGTGCAAAATTGATGGGGTATATAGACTGGTGCAATGAGCATGAAAATGTTTTAGCAATGCTTAGAGGGCAGAAAGAAGATCCAGATAGCTTTGTGTAAGTGGGGGTAAGACTGAATCAAAATTTGATTCCTGGTACCTAAAATCCCTGAATGGTTATAAACTGCCTTTCAGTAAAAGGTCAAAATAAAAATACTAAAGTGGTTCTTCCTACTAGTGAGAAACCAGTTGTTTTTCATGAGTATCTTATGATTATATACTGTTATGATGCTTTAACAAGCAAGATAAACTTTAATATAATAGTTTTTATATCACTAAGATAATATGCAAAACTAAGTATAGAAGTCTTGAACTAGCACATCATTTCATTTACACTATAAAATTTGTTTTTCCTATCTTGATCTTGACATTTACTTTCTCAAATACAAAAAAATTATCCTAATTAAAGTACATGATAAGATTATCTTACATTACAAATGGTATATTACTTAAGCAATAAGGATTTATACATATTATTGTAAATAACCAAGGTACATGTAGAAAAATATGTACACATATATACAAGTTTGTACTTATCTATATGTCACATAATATTAGCAATATTATTTTGAAATATACTCTTGTTATGAGAATACTTACTTGTATGGTGTAAGATACTTGTGATTGTAAGTCATTACACAATCAAATGCTAATTTCTGGACTTCTGCATCTCTGTAGCAAAGTAACTAAAAATAATCCAATTTGATATACAATAACCAACTTTCAATAAAAATTGCAACTGATGGTTAAGATTTAAAACTTGCACTGGCAACACTACAGGATAAAAATACTTGCTGTTAGACTATCTTGGAGAGAACACTATTCTAAAAACAAAAAATATATTTACTTCATTATTGGGATTAAATAATTACTATTTTCTGTTGTCAAGAAGATATTCACAAATCACCTATTAAGTTGAAATGTTATTCTCAATTAAACACTGGTCATTTAAAAATATTACAAATACTTCTATGTATTAACTTAAAACACAGATAAACTTTTTAATATCTATAAAATACAGATGTAACCTATATGTTTATATTTTACAACTTACGCTTCACAATAACACTATACTCAGTTTATATACTATAAAAAGCTTTAATACTAGAAAACATTATTGAGTTTAGTGTTTTTATAAAAGTGACAGAACTGTAATGAACATTATATTTCACAAAACTGTTATTTACTCTAATTTAATAACTGCTGAATTATAATAAAATAATACTTCAGAACATTATACTTTACTATTAAAAGTGATTAAACTGTAATAATAAATGTGACACTGTAGGACTTCTCTTCCTTTAAAAACCAACTGAACTGTAATGATATTGTAGGAAATTGTGTTCACTCTCGTTTAAAAGTGACTGAATGTAATAAACATGATAATAGTCAATGTTATGTTGTCAATTTATAAAGGTTAAAGTACACAATAAGTAAACAGACACCCTTGAGAATATGAGTGAATCATCTCCATGACATTATATTCAAATAACCTCAACATAACTGGGTTAAGCATAATCAAATGACTTTGAAGTCTTGTTACAAGCCATGTCGTTATGTCTGGGTATGCTCTATATGACAACTGTGCATCTTGGCAATAGGCCTGAAATGTATTCTCCATTGCACTGTAGGGTTGTCATTTCCAAAACACACTACTCCTTCCTGGTGTTTTTTATATACCATTAAGTATAGAAGAACTAATGGTTTCTCAATGCCAATCTCAACAATCCAGTTGTACAGAAATCTATGAGACAAGTGAATGGTTTTTCCTACTGACTTATTTGCTGGAAATTTCTGGTTTTCGTGAAATCTGGAACTAAGGTAACTTTCATATCAACTTTATAAATTGTTCATTCTTAAAGAGCAACCTAAAATACCTACTGTACTCAGCCTATCTTTATACACTGACTTACCATATTTTGAAGATTGAGCTCGCTTGTCATGAAGCAGTTTAAAATTATGGAACTAAGATGTTTTACAGTATAAGAAGTATGCAAAATATAAGTTCTATCTAAATGCTCTTTTTCCATAATAAATGTTCCTTTTTTACATAACAGATGTAATTCTAGCTGATGCTGGCAACACAGAATGTATATACATGTTGTTTTCATGAATAAATTTAATCTGCTGTAGTTTTCAAAAACAAAAGTCACCTAAATCAATCACTACAAGTTAATGAGCCACTATATCACTTTTTTATATTATGAAAAACGTCATGAATTTTTTTTATATGTTAAAACATACACTTCTCTTTAAAAAAACTAAAACAAATTATGAAGTTAAACTGTGTGAATATGGTAATTCCCAAAAAATTTGACAAAAAAAAACAAAATGTGATACCTCAAATTTGCATTTGTCTCTGCATGGATACAACAAACCTTCATGCCAAATTTGGTGAAGACCCATCAACAGTGGGCAAAGTAGTGGTAAAAAATGCAAAAACGCCTATAAAAAATGCAAAACTGAACATGTGTATGTATTTCCCCATGGACCTAATGAACTTCCATACCAAATTTGGTGAAGATCCATCTACGGGATGGAAGTAGTGGTAAAAACTGCATCACTGAAAATTTGAATTTTTCTCCCTATGGATCCAATGAACCTCCATACCAAATTTGGTGAAGACCTATCCACAGGAGGTGAGGTAGTGGTAAAAAACGCCCTTAAAAACTGCAAAACTGAAAATTTGTATGTACTCCCACATGGACCTAATGAATCTTCATACTAATTTAGGTGAAGATCCATCCACACCCTGCAAAGTAGTTACATGGACAGATAACAGACAGTGCTGTTATATTTATATAGATTATGATGATTATTTAACATTGTTAGCAATAGTATATGGATTTACAATTAAGCTGGTCAATCTTTGTGAAATATTATTGGAATCAAGACTTAAAATATCAATAACAGCAAGGGTACCTTGATGATGGATCTTTGTATTCTCATTATAGGTTTTGTTTAATGAGAAGTTATTGATAAATAAGCTCTATTGATCAGAAAATTACCTCAAGGTACAACTGATGCAACTCTTCACTTCGAGAAATGGCTCGAGGATTCTGGAATTTTGCAAAAACTCCCAGATGAGCACGTAATAACCTGAAAAATAATAAGCAGCTAGGTTTGAAGGTTTTTATCAAAACCTATCAAATATACAAATACTATATTCAAAAACTGGGATATTACCCTCAATTATTTTACCGTCATACTATATTTGTATAAAACATTTAAAAGTGAAGTAATTTAGATATGAAATATTACTTTATAAGTATCAGTGTAGTAAAATGTTGATTTTCTGTTCTTCTTGGAGGGAAATAGGTATGTGAAATCTTATTGTACATAAAATTAAACATTGAAGTTAGCAATTCACTATGAGAGAAAACAATAAAAACAATGAATATCAAAAATTACAGCTTATAACTAATGAATAATCAATACAAGTATTGAAGATAAGTTAAGGCTTATAATGAATAAAAACTTCACAAAATAAAGATAAGATAAAGGTTATAACTATGTTTATATGTATTTTGCCCAGTTGTTATTAAGCATTTAGACATACACAAAATTCTATCTACAATATGCATTTTAACATTTGTAATTACAGTATTTGGAAAGCACATCAGGTACAAATGCACAGATATGGATTGAAAGTGCAATGCATTGGAGGTGAATTGTTTTGTACCAGTAAACATTAATGTAACATTGGGTCTGCAGCTGTTCAGCAAGTTGATGTTTAAGAAAAAATTAATGCTCATAAATTTAACATTCTACTGTATTATTAAAATTCCAAAAACTCGTGGTTCTAACTGATCACACCTACTTCTTCAAAATGTTAACTTTTCAAAATAACACAAAGGTTAACACTCTTGCCACAACTTTTTTAGAAAGTTACATTCAAAATTTAAACTACTTCATTATCATTGTGTATGAATAAACTTGGCATCAAAATAGTTAATAAAATAAAATTTAATATTATTTTTGTTTAAGTTCTTATTTCTATAAGAAAATATTTAAAAAACCTTAATCTACCCTAGTAGGAGAATTGTGACCTTTGTTCTCTAGGTTTTCTCTCTTCTCTAATTTATTTACCAACCCTCCAAGAAGTATAGAATTTAATGGAAATTACTGATTATAATAGATATTTCTCAGACAAAGCATTATTTTTATAACCTTCAATCTTATTTGTCTATAGAGCCATAAACTAGTAAACCAGACCCATTTTTCACACCCATCCCTGTTACATCCCATCTTTCACAAATTGCCAATAGCTCTCCAATGCTTTAAACTATATTATTTATAACAAATAGAAAGCCAAAGTTTTAATCTATCAAATGGCATAACATAATACATTATTTTTTGTATAGGGCATTGTCTATTTCATTGTTCAGTTTCAATTTTATTCTCATAGGAATCATAGCAATGAGATAGCTGAATCTTTAAAGGCTTTTATTGCATAGTTAGAAAGCCAGAAAAATTATGATAGTTATTGGACATTGTTTGCTTTTTGTATGTTATTATTCTGTGTTCTTATGTATAGTACTCAATTAAATAAAAAAATATTTAGTGTAGTAGTAACATTGGTACAAAAAGTAGGCTTAAGTTTCCTCGATATTCCACAGAAGAAAAAAAAAGACCTAGGTAAGTACTATATTTCTGGTTTTTTCATGCGTATTTTTTATTTATTATTAAATTAATTATTATTAATGTAAAAATTAGAAGCCTATTGGGTTAGATAAGGTAAGATAATGAAAAAAATATACAATAAAAACTCTTCACAAGGTATGCTCACGAGGAGCTTGTCCATTACATAATTCAATATGGAACCTCATGTACATGTTTGTCGAATGATTTACATCCTGTGTGGCAGAATCATTATTTAGACAGGGTTCAAAGGGCAATAAAACAATAAAATTTAAGTAGAAACAGATGTATACTGTTAGAAGCTTTAAACTATTTAGGATACACAATTGTGGTTTCTTGTTACAGTTTGAAATCATTCTGATCAATTTTTTTTTGGTGGTTAGGAAGTCGATAAAATTGACCAACCTTGTATAGAGTTAGGGTAGAGAAAATAACATACAAAATATAAAGTTTTACTGAAACAAAAACATTTGAAATTTATTTTTGAGGTTTTAGAGATTATGCAAATGATATTTGACAATTTTCAGATGAAGAAAATTATTTTTAATCTTAATATGAAAATCACTTTGCACTTGAAGCAGTCAACACTTTGACTCCATATATTCATGGAGAAATTTTGAGTAAAAATAGTTAATTAAAAATTTTGAGTTTTAACAACAAAATACTTGTAATGTTTACTGAAAGCTTGCTAAAATTAGTGAAGATATACAAAACATATTAAAAGTTATAGTAGGAAACTATAATGGTCACGATTTTGATCGAATGGGTCTAGCCCATAGTAAGATAGTAAATTACTGTGAAAAAAACAAATATACATTAAAATGAGATTATAATGAATCTTACTTGATAATACTTTTCCCTTTTTTTGCTTCTTCAATGATATTATAATCATTATTACCAGATTCCTCTTCATTGTTTGTATCATAAAATTCTTTTACGTCAGGTAAGCTGTTAGCCATTTTACTTGTTGGAGTTAGCATATCATTTGCTATTTCCTCATCAGAATCATTTCCCATTTCCTTCTGTGCCTTTTCATATTCTGTCACACATTCTTCACCTTCCAGACTGAGAGGAGGTTCTGTATCCATTTCTACACCACTTTCATCGTCAACCTCTGTTATTCTAACTTTTTTTTTTACCATCTTTTTTCTTTCAACACTTCTTGCTCTTTTTCCACAAGTTTTTTTATTATGAACTCTTTTCTTTTGTTTTTTTCTCTGTTGTTTGAAACACGAAATAGAGTTTTTTATTTCTTTCTGACTGATGTCTTGGGTTTTCACCAAAGTGGTGTCATAGTTGGAAAATTCCTCCCTATTAAAATTAGCCAAAAACTTTAGTATCAAGAACTACGAAAATAACCATGAGTTATATATTATAATTGTAAAAAAATACACATACATATTTAACTGCTACTAGAAACAAATTTCCTATTTATATTTATAACAAAAGATTAATTATAAAAGTATTTTATTATGTTTGATATAATTACAATTCAGCTTTGGCCAAAATACCTTGGAAGTAACAAAATGGGTAAATAATTAAAAAACAAACAAACAGAGAGCTATTTTAAATGTGAATGTTTTCTTCACTCTATTTTGCTTTTAATTAATAAGAAACCACTCTTTGAATGTCCTCAATATATATATATATTTTCCCATGGACTAAGATACTATCTTGTCTTGAGTTCATATACACAAAATTATTAACACATCTAAGTTACAGGTCAGTAATATCTACTACCACTAAGACAAGCTACAAAGAAAATGACAAATAAGAAATTAATTTTAATCATACAGAGCTTTATTATATAACTAGCATCTACAAGAGTCACCTTTAAATATTCATAACTGAAAATCACTTCTGTTTTTAAACTTGTTGTTACGCTTGCATGGTTCAGAATTATTGTATGTTAGTACTGACTGACAACATAAGGTTCTGTCAAACTACTCAAAAGGTAGAGTGAAACAAAATATTCCAATTTTGCTGGGCATAAATACTTGATGGACAATATGAATACTAGCTGGTCCATTAAAACTAGTATAAGTAGAAATCTTAACAATTTTCATTTATAATAATAATAATAATAGGAATAATAATTCTTTTAAAAAATTGCTATTTACTAGTTTTAACATTTATAAGAATATGAAGTCAATTGCAAACGTACCTTATGAAGTATAAAAACAGTGAGACTAATTCTTTGTTCCTAGGTTCTGCAGAATCAGGAAACATTCTAATGGCCTGCCATAAAAGAAGCCGATAGTTGCTGAAGTCTGGACGTTCTTGAGGTAAACACAAAATGCACAAATTCTCAAGAAACAGCTTTCCCATACTGTGTGATGAATCACCACCTGATTTCCAAGCTTCATTCAACTGGAATGAATTTTGAATGGCTGACGATGTACCTGGAAATGATGCACAAAAAGTTTAAACTTTATAATAAAGGATATTTCTTATCATGGTATTATTCTGGATCACTCAAACACATACTATTCAATTTGTTTATGAGGGAAGTAGCTTATTTCATTTGTCTATCATTAGACACAGCATTAAGTAAAAAAATAAAATAAATTTAGATAAGGTCATATTCAAAATTCAATGACCTTCAAAAATGATTACATATTAATAGCAATATTTTTTAGGGAAGTACAGTGAATCAACTTTGTGGTAATGTAACTTGTATTACCCACAATAAGAGTTGTATCTGCAGTGAACTCAAGATTTCTTAAATAGTAGTAACATACGTAATCACTTCTCTGGCCAGGTGGGTTTATAACCAGTAACACTGACTTGGCATTGGTGTAACAGGCAGAGCAGAATCATCTTAATAAATTAAAAACACTAAAATAATACAAAAAAAGAGGTTTTTAACTATTTTATACAAAAGTATATCAATACTATATTTGCCACTTAGCTAACACTAGCTTAAGTAGTCCACAAATTAGTACTGTTCTATAAAATGTTTACAACTTGGCAAAAACTTCAAGTATCATTCAAAAATGAATAACAAAATTCAGCAACTATTGATTGCAAAATTTTAAACAAACTAAAGTAATTATCTAATAAATATAAAATATTTGTTTGAAGTTTAGTAAATTAGCCTAATGGAGTAGTTTGAGAATTTCCAAACCCTTGACTTAAAACTGTAAAATCTAACACTTAAAGCTGGTAACTAAAAATGAAGATAAATTAAAAGTTAGATCCATACTGCAAATTAATGTTTTTTGTTTCTTTAGCTTTGTATCTGTTGTTCTCCAATTTATTTTTGTATCTTTTTTTGAATATATATATATATTCATAACTTTCAATGTGTCTTATTTTACCTTTAGTTAATTGACTTTTAAAATATAGTCACATTTAGTATACTTTTATCATATATCTGCTTCTCTAGTGTTGTAAGCATTTCGCAACATATAATATGATTCTCTTTATCACAACTGCTTTAGATTTGAAAAAGATATGTCTGAAATTTTTAAAACCAAAACAAAAATATAAAGGTGGTATCTTTATCAAGTGTTTTCTTTATCCTATAACAATTTGAGGTTTTAAGGATAGCTAAAACACATAAAATGTATTTCAACGTTTACCTTGATCATCTATTGCTTTCTGCAGTTGAGCAGAATATACATCCCAAAACGACTTTCCAAGGCCATAAGCATGGGATTCAAGAAGCTTTTGTATTGGCTGCCAGAGCAACTTAAAATTGTTGTACAAGCTTCCAAGCAGAAAGTAAACAGGAACCTAGAAAAAAACAAAATGTTTCTTGAATCATTTAGATAATTGTAGTCAGAACAAAAGAAAGTCAGACTGAAAGTAAAAAACTACAGTATCTTGAATCAGCGTTTTCAAGTCTGCCAGTAAGGTAAAACAAGGAAGAAGTATATACAACTAGGAGGTTAAACCAAAAGAGTAAGTTTATTCTACATGGAATCGTTTTACATTCACTTTTTTAACAAAACATAACATATAATTTAAGGACAACAAGGGACTGTTGGTTCATGTAGGCTGTCCCATCTACCCATTATACTACACTAAAATACAAACACTTAAAGCTAGCCCTTATCATTCAAACATTTATCAAATTAACTGCATCTACCACACCTGAAGGCAATCCATTCCAAAGACTAACCAGTGTTAGAAAATAAAGCTCTCTTATCTGAAGTTGACTCCTACTATGCCAAAATTTATATTTGTGTTTCCTAGTCTTATCATTCTCATAATTAAGTATGGAAAAAGAAGGAGAATCAATACTGTTACTTCCAATCTTAAATACCTCAATCAGACCTCCACTAACTCTTCTTGTTTCAAGAGAAAACAATTTCACAAATCTTAAACTATAGTTGTACGAGATCCTAGTAGCCCTTTTCTGAACCCTTTACAACAATTCAATGTCCTTTCTAAGGCATGAAGCCCAAGATTGAACACAGTACTCCAAATATAGCCTAATCAATAACATTATAACCTCTTTAGACTTGAATTCAATATTTCTGTATATACAACCTATATTCTTATTTGCCCAACCATTAGCAACAGTACACTTCTCGGATGGCTTAAGAAACCGATTAACTAGAACACCAAGGTCATTTTCTTCCATAACACTGTTAAGGTTATTCCGATCAAAATTATACTCATAATTCAAATTAGGATACACCACGTGCATTACCTTGCATTTATTACAATTAAGAACCATCAGCCATTTATTCATCAAACTCACCAAATAATCCAAATCCATTTTTAAAGCAGCATCCTCCTTCTAACAACCCAAAACTTTAATATTATAAAAATTAAATAATTTTTTGACCATTCCTTCATCAATGTCAGTGATAAAAGTCAAAAAGAGCAAAAGTCCCATCACTGAGTTCTGATATACCCACTTCTGACATTACTCCAGACTGACTGAACTTGGAACTCCATTTAAAACAACCCTCTGCTTTCTTCCATCCAGCTAGTTTGCTATCCAGATACACCAAATCCACACCTATACTTTCATTTAGATAAGCAGTAACCCCTTAACAGAATGTCAAAAGATTAACAAACCAAAATTTTTCTAGTGAAACCATGCTGACTATCCAACAAAATTTCCAGCTTTGTCAAATGATTTTGTAAAGCATTTTTATCAGACTTTCATAAACCTTTTCCACCACTGATGTAAGACTAATTGGTCTATAATTACTTGGATAATTTTCATCAACTCCCCTGAAAAGAGGAGTAACATTAGTTAACTTCCAATTCATTCACAGCTGAAGTGTTTGAAGATTATTCAAGTTTACAGTTATCTTAGTGTAGTATGAAAATAACATATATTATACTCTCCCACAGTATAAATTTCTTATTTACAAATTTTCTTACACTTACCTAAGTTATTATTTAGGAACACTAAATCCACGTGAAATCATGTGATAAGTTCAACCAGATGCATTATTTTTAATGACTTGACTAGTAAAACGAGAGGGAATCCCCAAATAGCCATGACAATTGAAATTCTTTCAGGCAGGATTAGAGTAAATTAATCTACGAGACTTATTTTCTTTTTATTAGCTATAATTTTGTACATCGGCAATACCAGGCATGGGACACACATATACCCGATTTTATTTTATAACTCATCACAATCTCTACCAGCCTACCCTCAAATTGAAATTCTTTCAGACAGGATTAAAGACCTGTCTATGAGACCTTGGGCATGGTCAAATACTTCAATTGAAAGGGTTTGACCTCCTGAGTCCAAAACTGTATTTAGATCTCAAATCGGTCAAGAGATGACAGAGCTATAAGTTAACAGTTTGTACCTGAAAAAATAAATAAAAACGAAAAAACTCAGAACTGTTTGCTGTTTTGTGGGACAGTATTCTACTGACCTATCTTGATTGTTCAGCTTCAAGGAGAATGTGCATTGTGATATACAATTTCAGTATTTCTGGGAGGAATCACTCTGACTTTCAAGAAAAGTAATTTGCTCTTTTTAATACTGCCAAAACTTATTTGATGAAATCCTATCCTTGTTTCGTCCTATTCCTGCACTGACCATGTATGCTTCAATTTAGCCCTTTTTTTTATCTGAATTTAATTTCAGCAACAACTTGTGTTCACTGTTCAACATTTTATGTTTACTATAGTAAATAAGTGCTCTATTTTATTTCTATACATCTTAACTACAAAACCATGTATTGCCCCTTTTATCCCACCATTCACTCATTGCATATTTCCCTCTATACATTAGATTCATGAACCTTTTGTTTTGCAAAGATCAGATTGCTATGTGCGGGTACAACCTTGATTTACTATAGTAGCTAAAAAAAAATAATGTTTTTATCTTATTTTATTTTACTAATTTAATATCAATCACACAAAAATCTTATTTGATAAAACAAAAACTATCCTATTATCATTGTTGTAAACTCATATTTTGTTTTATGAATTATTACATTAAACAAATTATGAACAGCTAAATACTATAATTTGAATAACCTTATCAGTTCTCATAGTGATTTAAGCCAACAAGGAAGATGTCATTGAGGATATCTTTATATGCTCTTTAAGGAAAAGTGTATCTTTTATATAATCATCTTTATGTTCTTTGATTGTTGAAGTGTTTGAAAAAGTATAAATGTTGGTGGAAATAAAATCTGTCACCAGATAAAAGATATCAATATTTAACTGAGGTGGTTGATACTTAGAAAAATACTGGAGATATAATTTTACCCTATTTTAGAATTGTCAATCATGCTCAAATTAAATGCAGGTGTTTACTATAGGTTCTGAGAAAATGATTATATCTATGTGTCTTATTTTTATTCATTTTACCATTAGACAAAACAAAAATATTATTGTTAAATGAGGTATCACTTTTGTACTCTCTTAACATTTAAGAAACACCAAAATATCATATCAAAATAAAGAAAAAAAAAACAAACAATTAAATGTTTTCTGAAATAAATCTTAGGGAGTCAAGAGGTGAGAAAAGATGGCTTTTAACTATAGGGAAACAAGAGTTCCGAGTCACTAAATGCAACCAAAACTGCTTTTAATCCTATGTGCACAGCTGGTTCAAATTACACGTAATGACCTTTTACAGAATTACAATCAAAATTTAATTAAATAACTTTTTTATATATCAATGTACGTCAATAAATTTGACATCAAAATGTAGCTTATAATTCAAATTTGGTTTTATGTTTTAATTTCTTAATTGTAAAGGGAAGTAGTTAAATAAATTCTCAATCTTCACTTCTGTATGCCACATAATTATGTTAGTCTGAGCCAAAGTAGGTATACATATTTTTAAATTTTAAGTAACTCAGTTTTTGTAGTTTTGTTTTCTTGTTTAAATACTTTTTGTAGCATTAAAACTTTCTACATCACTGTAGCTAGCTAGGTTACGTATATATCAATTCCTACTTTATTATACTTGTATAATACAAAGCTAAGAGCAGTTGCAAGGAGCAGGTTGACGAATACAAGATACAGTAGCTTCCACTGATTTATGCAATGATTAATTACTTCTGTCATTTAAATTACTTGGGTTACAAGCCTTCAAAGATGAAAGATTGACATCTGGGTTCCATACCCAGTTCATGACATTCAGTGCATCTCTAAATTCTCTATCCACAACAGCCACATCATGTAGTTATACCAAAGTGCATATATTTTGAACATCATTTCAACATACGTGGTGTGTAAATGAATCATGGTTATTTTACCTTTCAGCATGATATGGACAAAAGACTGACATCAGGTGCTCATCAGTGAATTGTAAAGTAACTTCAGAGTTCAAATGACAATACAGATACTTGGGATTGTATTTCAACAGTCAGTTAATCCTATTTCTCATGAATGTTGTCCATTGACACAATTTTCAGTTTTAAACACTTAAGACTTTGAACAATCTGGTTTGCCCATGAATGCATCATAAGTAGAATGTGAAGGAAGTACGTAACTAGGGTCCCTTCTGTCAGAGTCACTGAGATTCTGAATGGAATTATCTGACATACAGTGTTTGGTATAATAGTACTGTTGAGGGCAAGAGTTTTATTTTCTCCCCTTTTCTTCATTCATTATTACATAGTCCTGATATACACCTTCTTTTTCCATACAAGTCCACACTTCAAATAGCATACAACACTTCTATATTATTTTAGAATGACAGAATTATGTCTTGCTAACACTACTTCACTGATAACCTTAGAAACCATTCAGTAAGTAATGTGGTAAGACACATTGATTTCATAATTATAAAAACAACTGTTTCATTGGATAATTTAATTTTGAATGTGTAACCATACAGCTGGCTCTGCTGAGTAAGTTGCAATTTCATCAACCCAAATATAGGATGTAATAATAATAATGTAGATTTGTTCATTGGTTACTTTTTGCAGTTGTATGTTTTCATCATAAAATAAAAGGTTTAAACACTTTGTAAAATCACTAAAGATGTAGGTTAAAACTTCATCTTAAACAACAGCTTTTACAACAAAATAGCCAGTGTCATTTTTAAACAATATCATCTTTAAACATTTATCACATCTTAAAATGATAAATAACAGACAAAGATTAAAATTGTTTAAAGATGGTGTTCTGCCAACATTACAAACTGGAGGTAAAGTAGGAAAAATTATCTTTAATAAACTGAGCAAAATAGCAAAAGTTGGACTACATGAAAAAAATAAGAATGTGGTAATAGCCAAGTTCATTAATGCAAAACATCCTATGGTAGTTCCATTTCAGTTAAAAGATTTTTCATAATAAATATTTATTTTTTGGCCATTACTTTCTTAATATGCAAAATTCCCATCTTGTTCTGTTGTCCTATTATTTGTAAAAATTTTTAAATTATCACTTTTACAACCTAATCTATCACCACTCCAAAATTATAAGAAATGTCTGTTTTCTTACTTTTGAGAAAGAGCTTAAAATAATGTGGTTTATGACTTACCCTTTCAAATGGGCCTATAGGCAAGTTTTTCTGGATAAGCCTATATTCAAGTTTCTGGAGATGTTTGAGTTTCTCCCTATAGTCTTGAACTGTCAATGGTACTTTTTCTACTTCCAAGCATATTCTAAACACACTAGTTTGTTTCAAGTTCTAAAAACAAAATTCCAGTTATTGTTTAACCACACAATTTCATAAATTATACAGCATCTTAGAAGTTAAAATTGCAACTGCAGAAATGACAAGCTTTAAGCATAAAAAATAGGTTTGATCTTTATGCTTTTGAAATTTTTTTGTACTTACAAATTAAAATATTTTTGCTTTCAAATGAAAATAACACCCCATAATAGTAGAATAATAGTCTTGGAATTAAAAATATTTTAAGAGAAGTTTCTTTTATCAAAAACAGGTGGACAGTAATACTAAATATGATTATATATCCTCCTCTAAAGGAACTGCTACAAAAAAAGAACAATTAATAGATTAATCCTTCACTTAATGAAATAAACAATATGAGGAAAAAATTCTGATTGTAATGGAAAGATATAAAAAATTAGTAAAAGTATAACATAAATTTGCATGTAGCACTTAAGAGAATATTCCTAAACTCTGAATGAACTATTAGGAAGAATTTAAACTATCAAGTTTTATATCATATTATCAAATTATTAATCAAAAAAATTTCTAACATCTCTTAAAATTTAAGAGTATATAAACATAAATTTTTATTCATAAGGCTTAACAAAAGATTGATCAAAATCAAAAATATGAACCTACATATGTTATCAAGCATATAGATGCAAAAATGATGCAGGTTAACATTAAGGTAGTTTAATAACTGCTAATCTGACTCCTCTATTTCACATTTTGAATTATTAGACATTAAAATTATTCAATATACATTTAGAGTTAAGCATGTCATAAAAAGTGAAATATCATTGGCCAGCAATAACCAATTAAAAATTTGTTTATAATATTTTTTAATAATTACTTTGTAAACATGTAATGTACATTTACATTGCCAGTTTTAAAATTTTTGACAAAACTACACAAGTTCTATCTAATTCTCAACTGAGATTAGAGGGAAGACTGTTAGTCAACAGAAACAAACAGTGAGGAATGATCATCACTCTTGTAGCAAACCCACAGCCCCCTAAGTAAGAAATGCATTTTGGGAGCAACAGGATGTAAATCATGAACTCTTGAATTCATAGTCCTGGCTTGTTAACCACTAGGCCATGACCAGTTTCAACCTTAATGTTAAATATATATATATCAATGAGAAACATACAAAAAGCTGTTGGTAGAACTAAGTGATTAGTGGAAATTGACAATCGATTAATCATCAGGCTTATCAATCAAATACATTTAACTAATTGATTATTCTCAAATGAAACTTGGATAGATGGAATAATTGAAAATAGCAATAATCAGAAACACTAATTTCGAGTAGTTCACTATTTTCATTAGTCATGACACTAAATGATTAAGTTGAACAATATTCTCATAACTAGGAATAATAATAATTATTTCGATTAGTTCACTATTTTCATGAGTTATGACACTAAATGATTAAGTTGAACAATATTCTCATAACCAAGAATAATAACGAGAAATCATCATGGTGAATTTTCAATTACTCATATAGTTGGAATAATCCAAAACAGTAATAACTGGAAATCTTAATTAGTTTATTAATTCTGTAACATTAATCAATTTAATTGTAATTTCAATTAATTGGTTACTTTACACGACACTAATTGATGCTCTTAGGTAATCAATTAAGTTAACTGCCCAGCTCTAATGCTTGTACATGTAGTCAGATATTTAAGGACTAAAACAGCCACTTTAGGTGCATTCAACCATTAAATTTTGTAAGCTTTGTAAGTGGTAAAAAGAAATCATTATTGAATTAAGTCCACAAAGTAGTAACCAGTAACCAAATGATTTTCAAGCCTGTAATGAGTAAGTGAATGTGAATATAAATTCTTGCTTTATTGGTTAAACAATGTCTCATTATTTTAACCAACACGAAATCAAGTTATTTTAGCCTAAGTCAATCAAATCTTAAATGTAATAAAAAAAATTTGTAATAAAAGTGAGTTTGACTCTCATTTCAAATTTTCCTCTTAGAAAACTGTACTTATGTTAAAATAAGCATAAACTTTATTTGTTCCTCATTTTATTTTATAGTTAGCTTATATCTGATATTTTTATTTTCTGGTTTTTGTTGCATGAGCATTTCCTATACCTATACAAGTTCTGTTATATGTACAGACACACACACATATGTGTGTGTGTGTGCTTTAAACGTTTTATCTTTTAATTTTTTTTGCACTTTCAACCAAGTATGATTAAATGCAATTGATCTGTTGATATTTACACATGATCTGTACAATGTAGGAACAAATACAAGTAGACTAAAACTTTAACATTCTTTCCTTTTATGGCATTTTAAACCTTTTTTCAGGAGCACTATTATTAGTTTTAATATAAAATAAACATTACTCTATTCTGAACATTCTTAAAAAATTCTACAAATGATTATTCCTAATTAAATTTACAAGAAAATACTAACTTCTTAGCATGAGCATAATAAAATATGTTAATATTAAAATTTTATTTAGTGTTATTAGCTTAGAATTATCATATGCATGATCTTTATATAAACTTTTCACCTTGTCTTCTAATGAAGGTAGTGGCAGGTTAAAACTAGAGAGGATTCTTAATGTCAAAAGGCGAACCTGAAAAGATTGAAAAATGTCTGCTTTCATAATGTTTCTGCTTTTATAGCGCATAAAAATCTTTTCCTATTTAGTCAATAACTATACAGAACCATAAGCATAAAATCCTCAAACTGTGTTAAAACAGAAAAACAAAATTGAATTTATACAAACAAAATAACAAAAATAAAATTTTGTATTGATACAATAACACAAGCCCCAGGTTTTATATAAAATCAAATTCATTCTAAACTATTTTTAAAGAAAACAGAGACAGTTTTATGGAAGTTTGCAATAATCATTTTCTTTTAATTTAAAATACTTTTTTGGGTATGGATATATGTTTGATTAATTTGATTTAAAAGTGTTTGAATTTTGTTGTTTATGGTGATAATGTTACCATACAAGTAAAATAATTAATTCATCAAAATTTGGATTTAATTCATGTTACTACCTACCATTTAAAGGTTTGAAATATATACTGCACACATGGAATAAAATATCACTAATAAAATCTAATTCCAGGATACAGACATACATTTTAGAAACATTAAAACTTTAATTACCAAATGAAAAGGTGATAACAGATTCTGCTGCATCAATGGGAAAATATTCTCCAGAATAGAAATGTCAATATCTTTCACTTTTTGAAATGGATGAGTCAAATAGAAGTCAAAAGCTTGTAAAATAATCACAGAAGTTGGATACAGCCTATAAAGATGTAAAAAATGTCCTTGTTTTATGAAAACCTTAATGAAATAAAATTGAAAATGTATTTAATTTTTTTTCATTATAGAATAATATTCATTTACATGATCAAAAAACAAGTTGTATTCATATATGAACACATAAGAAGTATTAATGCAATATTTAAAAATATATGTATTAAATAGTTAAACTAAAGTATTGGCAGTTTCTAATAACACTGTTGTGTTTATAATTTAATTAAAAAAAAAATCTTCAAAAAAATTTTTCTGTGAAACATTTACACATATACCCTAAAAATGATATTGTAATATCATAGAATCTCCAAGAAAAGCAATTGTCATACCAGACAAAGTAAATCGCTACTTCTATGTGGCTTCATTTTATAATTAAAAGTAAAATGTATGGTAAAACTTTGGTTCTATTAAAACAGTGCATTAGTTAAGTTTATCTTGTTCAATCCTAAATGATTAAATATAGAAAGATTGCAAAAAATATCAATTTGATTCATCACAGAGCTCACTACTGCTCTTTTCAATAGTATAATGCCAAAATTTTTAAACAAAAATCCATAATGTGAAATTTGCCAACTTTATAGTAGTCCAACAAGACAATTAATAATCCGGTAATTTACTGGGTATATTCTTTACTTAACCCTTTTTCTACTGCCTCAGTGGATTATGCTCACCGTGTGACCCCAATATAACCATCATAGTTTCCATACTATAACTTTTAACATGTTTTGTGTATTTTCATGGAATTTTTCTAACTTTTAGTATATGTTACAAGTCTTTTGTAGAGAAAAATCAGAATTTTTAATTCAGTATTTTACTAAAAATTTGTCCATGAACATATAGTTAATGTTGAAGGCTCTGAATGCATAGTGATTTTCAATTTAAGATTAAAAATACATTTCAACATCTGAAAATTATCAATTTTATTTGCTTAATCTCTAAAACCTCATAAATAAATATCAAATATTCTTTTTTTTAATTCTATCTGTTATTTTTCCTACCCTTATTCAATATGTAATTGGTTAATTTGATCACCATAATTAAACGTAAAATGAGCAGTACTGTTCTATCCTTTATAGTATTGACCACAAAGTTCCAAAGTACTTCTCCTGAGAGTTTCTACTTCTAACCTTTTCACATCTATTTTCTATGTTTGTTGTACTATAAGCAGATGAAGTAGAAACCTTCTGAACATAAAGCAATGAATCACCACTTCTGCCATAAGACTGTGACACTGTAATATGACACAATCAATAGCAAACAATAAGCCAAAATTCCCATAGAGTTTATCATAATCCTGGCTCTGAGAACACAGTGGGAGAGGATTTATCAGCTTGTTTACAGTACAGTGATTGCAAGGAGAATTGTCTAAAGTAATAAAAGTGTGAGAAAATGTTTAAGATATGGTTCTGTACAAAGTCCAAGCCAATGCAATAAGTTTGGTAAATATTCGGATTAGTGTTTTCACTGGGTACCCACCAGTCATGATTGTTACCCAGTTTAAAAAAAAAAGCTATGCAATTCTTAAGTCAAAGTATGGTAAACAGAGCTGCAGACAAACTATAATTTTTAAGAGAAAACAGCAAGCAAAAATCTCAAACAGGCACAAAAAGTCACGACACAGAGAGTGAAGACAAATGTGGAAGCAATTGTAGTGGTAGAGACTCAGATTAAATTCCAGTGACATGCCAGTGACACTGATTAGTAAGTAATTGATCTTTAAGTTTAACAGTGTACAAAAATCCCCGAGTACTTTATAAATCAAGTTATTCAATCTTTCTTATACTCTCAAAATTTGCTTATACTATACTAACTTTTACCTCTTCCATTGACAATAATGAACATAAAAGACAAAGAATCAATTAAGTAAGCAACAAATATTAAAAAGTCCATTTAAAATTTTTCATTGTTAAATGATTATTGGCCGATTCACTACATGTAGTCAGTTTGTGGTTACCACCATTTTGTAGTGCAGCACATTCTAGGGAAGAAATGAGGCCTATCACTCATAGGAAACTTTCAAACCTGATGACTGTGTGATTTGTAATAGTAAATACAGTAAATTATTGTATCAATATAAACAATATCTTCCAAAAGTTTTTACAAGTTTATATAACTAGTTTAATTTGTTTCAACTGTAGCTAGCTGCTGCTCATCATAATTCGAGGCAATCATTGCCCTAGAGTTGTTGTTTTACTTCATTGCAATTTAATTGAGAAACACACACACTAACCTTAATGGGGAATTATCAAAGTTTTGTCATTGAAATATTTGAGGTAAGCTCTGCCCATCAATTGTGCTAACTTTTCTGATAGCGCAGCCACTCGCAGTGGTCTTGTGATCTCTCAATGTGTGTTATAATGATAGGTGGCAGTATATGTTGTAACATCCATATATAAATGTATGTACATACAACCTAAGTGTCGTCATCCTGTCCATTATTGCCTGGGCACTGTGGGTATTGTGTAATGACACTCAGCCAGGGTGAACTATTAAAAAGTACTTTGTTTTGTTACCAGTTACCAATAAGTTAATAGTATCCAATCAAAGAAACAATTGATGAAAAGTTAAAAAATGGAGAGATATTTGATTGATTTATTTCAGTACCTCATGTAGAATAATGGGAATACATACAGTAGCCTATACTTTGCAGACCTATGCTATAGTATACATGATGGCTGCAAAGGTTTTGGAGTTAACATCGTTTTCATCTTTCATTTATAATTATATCATTTACTGTTTTCTTTTAGTTTTCCACCCAAACATTCAAAACTTATTATTAGCAGTGTTAAACATGCTTTTGCTAGAAAAATAAAAACAACAATGCACACGAAGTAACTTAAACTGTGTGGCTTCATGGTTCATGTTGTCTTGTCTTCTGCACATTAGAAACTGTTGTGTTGATAGTGGTCAGAAATTTCAGGCACCCAGATATCTACCTAAATCCAGTTAAGATTTTTGGTACAGGTTCAAACACTAATTTGGATGTTAGTTATCCTCCCAGGGTTGTCAGAATTTAGTAGTATAGGTGTACAAAGTGTGTAAGTGCTTATTAACATAGAACAATAAATAAAAATTAGATAGAAAAATAATAATTTCTAGTTCTTATGATGTTACAAAATTGATTTGCATTCGTGCATTGTACTTGCTAATCCTCACCATAAGCCACATTTATTTTCTCAAGTAGAGTGGGAAACAAATTAATTTTGATAGATTACAAATATGCATTTAAGAAAACCAAAAAATTATCAAATTACTATACTGGTAGAATAATATCACTGTAATTTATCTGGTTTTCTAGCTATGCTATATGTAAGTTTAAAAATTTCATTTCTGTTCAGAACAACAACTTAGTTAACAGACTTCAACATTTTTAGTAAAAATCCAGCTTTTCCCATCAAGTCAATTATAAATAACTGTCAGGTTGAAGTAGTTTGGGATTTGCTCTTTGTATTGGTTATAAACATGTACTTAAGAGAAGTAGGCATGAGTAGACAAGAGGTTTCAAAAGAATGGAGTAGTGGAAGGGCTACCCTGGTAAGTTTGCTAGATATAATGATATCTCAGCAAATGAAAAAGATTAGAGGTTCTTATTTCGTATTCTAGCTTGTAAGTGTCTGAAATTTGGGTTTCTAATTTATTAACCACTATAGACATTGTATGGTAGGCATAATACAATATAAACTGCCCAATAAAACAAAAGGACATGCAATGTGGCACACATGAAAGGATATTTAGCTTTTTTTTTTATTTTCTTTCGAATTAAAACATATATAATATCAAACATAAATTATAAACTACATTTTGATGGCAATTCTATTAACATAACATGGATAATAAAGTTGTTTTATTAAATTTTGAAAACAACTAAAACTTCGTGCTTGCATCCTTTGACATATTTTAGAATATTTCCTAAAATTTTTTTCTATAAAATTCTGGACATATATGGTGTTAAACATTATATCAAACTCAGATAACCCTTTTGAGATGGGTCACAGGTGAAAGGCCATGTCATCTCATTTGTTGACTCGCATTCAAAATTTTATTGAACTACTAATTCATGAATTTATGTGAATAAGTTTGGTATCAAACTATAGATTATAATTCAAATTTTAGTACTATATATTACTCAATTTCTTAATCTAAAAGCAAATATTAAAAAACAAATAAACATCAATTTTTGTGTGTCACGTGGTATGTTGAATGCAGCACTGGTTAAAATTAAATGTTTGTGAAGTCAGAATACTAAGTCTATAGTTTCGTACGAATTAAAAACTCAAATTACCGACATTGACAAGCTAGAATATAAAATATGAAGGTCTTATCTTTTCTATTTGCTATGATATTGCTCATGTTATAAATCAAACACAGTGGTACCTCGCCCGTCTCTTTCCATTTTTAGAAACGCTCCCTTATATACACTTACTTCTATATATGACACGAATAACCAATTGGAAGCCCAAAATGTCCCCCTAGTGGCTTTCTCAGCCATGTTAATGGACTTGGATGCCATTTCTTTCTTTTGAACCAATATTTCAATGAGGTAGGGTGTGTGTTTAGTCTGTTCAAAATTTCATATTTTTTTTAGACTAAAATACATCTTAATTACTAAGCTTGATAAATTTTAGTGGAATTCTATGGTACTGATGTAGTAGTTTATGATTTTTAGTTATTCAAATGTATATTAAAAACCTAAAAAAAATATTTTGTTTCATATCCTCCACATGCAAAATTTTTAAAGGATTAGCCACTTATGTCAAGCACGAACCGAGTACAAAGGTCGTAACTAGAAAAGATTATTAATTGCTTTACTTCTTTATTTACTGTTGTATGTTTTAAGAAAAATAAGTTTAAGAACTGATTTCAAAATAGCAATAATCTATATACATATATAATGTATAATAATTGAAATGTGACTGTATTTTACAAAATACTAGTCTACTAAAACAGAGCCAAGTTACTTTGTACACACCAAAGGTCAGTTTTATGTTACTGGATACGGTAACATGAATGCACAAGTGTCGCGTCATTGTAACTTCTGTACTGTTAGCCAGGCATGGCTAAAAGGTCAATACATTAAAAATAATAAACATATATAAATGTATAATGTTATGAGATTCAAACCATTTATAGTCTAAACATTTATGTTTTCATGTTATAATTTGTGTTCATTCTTAGATGAAAGAGGCATAATTTATATTTATTTCCCAATTTTTTTTATGGTGGTTGTGAGATTGGTCAAATCTACCAAACTCGTACAAAGATTAATTACTGAAAATAACAGATAAAATATAAAGTTTTTCTTTAGAAATGTATGATACCTATCTGGACATTATAAAGATTTCTTTGCATGATAGATAAGCAACATGCGAAAAGAAAAAATGCATGAGAAAAACACTGCTTTACAAAAACTATAAGACTTAATGAAAATATTTGATATTTTGCATATGAAAGTATTGTAATGTTAACTGATAATCTGCCAAAATTCGTTA